CACACACACACACACACACACAGAGAGAGAGAGAGAGAGAGAGAGAGAGAGAGAGAGAGAGAGAGAGAGAGAGAGAGAGAGAGAGAGGCGTGGAAGAACGGGAGGAACACTCACCTTCGGCAACGTTCTCCGAGGACGTGGAAGGTGGCGGCAGGTCGCAGTACCAGAAGAATGAACTCCGCGGTGAATTGAAGCAGTGGACACAATGTGGAGTGGAGCCCTGTTTTTTTGCGCGGAGGCCCCGAAAATCCAGGATTTTGAATTCGAATTCTGAGGGCCTCCCCGCTGGAGGGCATCCCAGGAAGATGCATCCAATGCAGAAAGGCAAAATGGACAGCCACCACAGGAAATGGGACCGGCCTACCGGTAGGGGTATTCCGAAAAGTTGTGCCCCTCACTGCCAGGGGCCTTTTCGAAAGTTCAGAGGCCCCAGGGGCAAGTCAGGGTAAGCCGGCCGTTGGAGGGGCAAATCGCAAATAAACGCAAACTTCAGGGGCATTTCGAAAAATTTTCCAAAAAAAAGAAAGAGTGGTAATCTTGAATGCGTTGGAAAGTCAAAGGACCTTTAACCTTGCACATCAAGCGGTCTCTGGTCGGACAAGCGGTCATGTACATCAAAAAAGTCCTACCGTTTTCCACCCTATACAACGCACGGTCATTATTACTGTTATCTGCACTGAACGTTGCCCCAAATACAGGCATAATGACCGTACGTTCTATTCGGGGGAAGAAGGTGGTTCGAGCACTCGCTGAGATAGGCGTGCCCAGAAGAGGGTCGACCCGCGCTCTTCTTCGTCCCCAGAAGCCGGAAACGTCGTGCAGGCTCCTTCTTGCCGGCTGATGTGATCGTGGTTCTCCGTTTCAGTGTCAGTGTCAGTGCTGATGGAGGAGAGAGGAGTAGCACACCGGAGGGACAAGGGTGACATGGAGAGAGGCGAGGGATGACGGCGTGCTTCCCCGGCCGGCGCCCGTAGGAGACACGTCTGTGTACAGTGTGTAGACCATCTTCTGTTAGATGCACTGCGTGTCATAATCGTTGATTATTCGACAAACTGCGGAGGAGAGAGGGTGAGCCACAACGGAGGGATAGGGGGAACACAGAGAGAGGCTGGAATGACGAGGTGCTTACCCGGCCGGCTCGTGTAGGCGACAAGTCTGTGTCGATCCATCTTCTGGTAGGTGCCCTGTTGTAGGGGCCCTGAGGTAGGTGCCCTGGGTGTCACGATCCTTGATTAGCCGACACAAACTGTGTATGCCAATGATTGCTAATTCGTTTCTCTGCAATTGCCACAGTGTCAGTCCAGCACGTACTTGGCTGCCTCCGAACTGCCATTGGCTGGAGAGAAAGAGAGAGAGGACGAAACGGGGTAGCAATCGGGGAGAGCGTGCTTGGCGCTACACGTCCGGAGGAGAAGGCGGTGATGTAGGCGAGAGGATGCAAAAGAGGGTCGTTGCTTGTATGGTTGTTTAAGTAGGATAGATTAATAGCGATAGTTAGTTAACGCAGACTGTATCATACAAGGCTTAAGGAAAGGAGAGAAATTCTGGCGGGAAGTTCTGGCGGGAACTTGAGGAAATGAAGTAGAGAAGGACGGGTTTGGACCGCCAAATGTAGCGAGTTCAGTATAGACAGTATCAGTATCGCTAGCAGGAGAGGAGCAGAAGCATGATATAAGAGTACGTACAGTGCTTGAGGGAAGGCGGGAATTTCTGGCGGGAATTTCTGGCGGGAATTTCTGGCGGGAATTTCTGATGGGAAGTTCTTGTTTTCCGGCGGGAATTTCTGGCGGGAATTTCTGGCGGGAACTTCTGGCGGGAATTTCTGGCGGGTATAGAGTGTGAGGCTAATGGATTGGAGGTAATGAAGTGGAGAAGGCCGGGCTTAGACCACTAAACGTACCGAGTTTAATACAGACAGTATCAGTATCGGGATAGCGCCCAAACCGAAAAGGTTTTGGCGTGGGCGCTTTCTATCAATTATCCCATCCGTATCTCTAGCAAGAGAGGAGCAGGAGCATGGTGTAAGTACTTACAGTGCTGGAGGGAAGGCGGCAATTTCGGCGGGAAGGTCTGATTTTCCCGTTTTAAAGTGTGTGGCTAATCGATTTAAGGGAATGAAGTAGAAGGACGGGGTTAGCACTGGAGCCAGCAGTTGTGTAGGTAACCAAGGGGTAGGCTGTTTTGGACTAAGGAGAAAGAGAATCGTGCCCTCTAGGCGTTGTCATGATAGTTCCCCCTTCTTCTCTTTGTCCTTTATCGGTCTTCCTCTCTCCTCCCCGTCATCGCCCTTGTCCATTCTGCCGCTTTCCTCTTTCCTCTTCGTTGAAGAACTAATCATTCTCAAATCTGTTCTTTCGCCGCGATCTTGGAGAGTAGCGCCCCCCATCTCCTACCAATTTTCTCATGTTCCGCTCTTTGTGATATTTTCTCACTCTCCTTCTCCCCCAGGGCCCCAGGTTCTCCTCGCCCTCTAATCTGGTGTGACACTTGTTTTGCAGTCTGCCTGCGTTTTGGTTCCCTCAGCTTTTTAGAGTGTTCTTTTTGTTTTTTAATCCGTAACGGTTCGCTTCTTTTTCCACGGACTCGTTTCTTTTCCTAGTCTGCCTGCGCTTCCTCCGCCTACGTTCTCTCTCTCTCTCTCTCTCTCTCTCTCTCTCTC